CGTATAAAATAAATAAATTACCAGGACAATGGGTCAAAAACGAGGCCTACCGCGTATAATATAGAACGGATGGTCACCGTATGTATACATATCCGTACATGTAATCAAGTAAAATACTTACATTTTGTACCTATTCATGCATACCGCATTTGTAAGCATTTACCATACATAAATGATTGTCATTGTATCTGTCTGCAACTGCAATTGCAAAGCAATTTACTGCTGATCGTGTGCACCGTTGTTGGTTGTTCCTTACTTAGTATTCGTAATTGCTGAGTGACAGGAGCAGCTGTTGTCGTCGCCATCGTCAGCTTTGAATCGATTGCTGGAAATGTGTTCTTTTTCGTCTTCCTCTTTTTTTTTTGTCCTAAAAATAATCATTACTGCTTCGTTTCTTACATATTGCTATTTTTTTTTTTACTTAAATGGTAGGTCAAAAGATCGCAATTTTTTTGTTTGAAAGTTATCAAAAGTTTGTCTGGCTTGTCGTTTGTATTAATTTTTATTGCAGTATACTTATAGATCGATTTTTATTGTCTGGCACCTTTGATCTTTCATAAATACATATTTACGCAAATATGTATACGTATTACGATTGCAGAAGCATGCAAAAATATAGTATCAATGCAGAAAAGACACAGGATCTTGTACTCTTCACCAGGAAATACAAGCTTCCAAGCAAGCGTTAAGAACGTTCGCCGTGCTGTATGCTACGGGGCAGTTTAGTTAGTTTAGTTTAGTCAGTGCTAAAAGGCGAGCAGCATAACGCTAATGGGGCAATTCTGGCAACTGCCTTTCCACTTACTAATAAGACCTCCGCGTTTTCAGATCTTTCGATTAGTCTTTCGAAAGACAGAAAAGAGCTTTCAAAATAGTTGCCAGAACTGACAATTATTTTACGAAAGACTTTTCGTCTTTCGAAAGACTGTAGTGTGTTGAAAGACAGTTGCCAGAATTACCCTGTAAACCTGCTTATTAAAGACCAAAAATTGCATTTGCACTATTTTTCGGCCGAAAGCTCAATTAATATTATGAATTTATTTATTTATTTCTTTAATTTCAGTCTACAGATTTAGTTTCTTACAGACTAGCTAAAGACTCTGGTTCAATATTGTGAACAAATTACTCTTAAATCTATCAATACTTATGTTAAAATTTTACTGATCAGAGTAAGAAAAGGCTAGAATGGTGTATTTTTGTTTTGTGGCAACTTAAAATATTTCAAGGAAAGGTGTAATTTCTATAAAAAAAAAATTTATGTTTGCTTCTTTTTTTAATTTTTTTTTGTAGTGTAATCAACGCAAACGACTTTCAAGAAGTGTGTTGATCTCATCCACTGAAAGTTGTTTATTTACAAATCGCTCTACGTGGCTTTCACGTGGTGGAGGCTCTTTTAATGCGTGATTTTTCCGCCATGAAATTTCACCTCGATGACGCAAAGATAAACCTTGAATTATTGGTATGCGAGTAGCATAAATACGTAATCACATTCACTGCTATCACTTCAATAATAAAACACCGATTTTTATTAATCCAATTTATATTTATTAATTTATTTGTTTATTTAATGTATTTGTTTATTTAATGTATTTGTTTATTTAATTTATATGTTTATTTAATTTATTTACATACAAAAGCGTCGTATTCTGCATTGTTTTTTGCTCGTGCGACAATTTGCGTAATAAAGCTGATAACAATAAATATATTATCTATTTGATATATCAAAATCCTGAGATAAGAACTTGTGAGCTTTCTGTGAGAGGCTTGCCACTCTACGACAATCTCTTCCTAAGCTTATTTCTGTTCGCAAATTTTGGCGAACGATTATCCGTAAAACGTTCGGATACTCGTATAACACCGTTGTCCTGGAGACCTTAACGCTACCTATTATTTACTTGTATAACTTTTTCGATTTTAAAGTGTTCCAGTCTCCGTAGTTGAAGTGCTTATCCAGAGTTGAAATGCTGCAGCATATTTCTTAGTTCTCCTATGAATCTACCTCCGCTTTTGAAAATCCGTTTATATCCGTTTACAGTGATCGGGTAATAGTTATTTAAAATAGCAAAATAGCATTCATTACTGCCTTTATATTGAAAATTTTATTATTTATGCTCAATCATAATCACACGTGCCACTAATTCGTTTCTAACAATTTCTTATCAATAATCGTTTGAAGCTTGTCTATATATGTATGTTGTATGTTTCTAAAATTAGGGTTTATAGGTGCGCTATAATTTATGTTGTTTTTTTGTTTTGTATTTTACGCTTAAATTGGCAAACATGTTAAATATCAGTTTTTTTTGTACATACATGCATACAAGTATTTTAAATATGTACATTAGACTGCATCACCAAAAAAAGTTTCGGGTTTTCCTACAGAATTACAAAATATATTATATTTGATGACTTCCACCAAAATATTTCGAAATAATATGAAGATTACCATGTGCTGCACCGATTTGAAAATACCTCCAAAATTGTGTTTTTTATGAATAAAAATTGTTTCTTAAAGGCTTTTAAAAAAAATCCCCTCAGATAACAAAGCAGTTTATGTTTAAAAATCTTCATAAAAATATAAGAAAAAATCCAACGGAACCATAATAACGCGATTTTTGGTGCTGTTTTTTTTAACTTTTTTTTTCAAAGATTCGTTTAAGAAAAACTTGAATAACTGGGCAACAACGATGCCGAATGATATCTCACCAGCCTAAATCGGTTTTGGCCCAGTTATTCAAGTTTTTCTTAAACCCATCTTTGAAAAAAACTTAAAAACACAGCATCAAAAATCCCATTTTTATGATTGCGTTGAACTTTACGATTAAACTGGTTTGTCATCTGAGGTGATTTTTACAAAAAATCATAAAAAAAAATATTTTTATTCATAAAAAACTTTACTTTTTAGGTATTTTCAAATCGACCCAACTCACGTAAATATTAATATTTTTCCGAAATATTTTGATGCAAGTCTTAAAATATAATACATTTAAATTTTTTTTGTATGGGGAGTGATGCAGTCTAATGTCGTATGTATGTATTCGTGATAACGTCTAGGCAGTGTTTTCAAGTTCAAGTTGAATGTGAGCGCATGGATCTATGTACTTTTGCTGGTTTGTCTGCCTGTTTATTTGTTTGTAAATTTGCGGCGGGCGTGTAGCTATGCTGACGCGCGAATTTCAGTGACACCGCAAAAATGTGTTCTACATTTGATTCTTGACTTTGAAATTGCGAATTGGAAAAAAAGAAAAAAGCAAAAGTTTTAAAACTTTTTTCTCGCAAATGATGTCTGTAAATCCAAAAAAAAAAATCGCCTTTATATGTACCTCTGCTGTAGGAGTGTTATCAAAAAGGCATGAATAGTAATGATGGACAAGTGAGCACTTTAATTTCATAAAAATGTATACTTACGTTGTTGTTAATGGCGACGAAACTATGGTTCTTTATCATCATTAGCCGCCAAAATGGGAATCGGACTGGCCTCGTCCGAGCTCACTACGACAAAAAAGTAAAGGAATCTCAGAAATTTGTTTGCAATTCCGAATGTATTTAAATGGATATAAGTTTTTGCCCATTTTCTTTCTAAAATGTTTATTGGTAAATATCTTTAATATATGTAATTACGGTTTATAAGATATCTTAGTGAAGGTATGCATCATTTGAAACGCATTTACCCTGAGAGCAGTTGTGAGTACAACTGGCACGCCACTTGGATTGTATTATGGCTAGTAAACTAAACCAGAGAGATCAAAAAAAAAAATATATATAGGTATTCACATTACGTGATAAACTGTATCTAATAATAATAGATTGGCGTTTACACATATGTACATATGTATGTACGTGTTTGGTCGAGCTTCTCCACCGATTTGTGGCGTGCGCCTTGATGTTGTCACACAAATGGGAGGGACCTACAGTTTTACGCCGACGCCGAACGCTGATTGTATTTTTATGAAAAGCAGTGTTGCCAGGTTGACGATTTGGTCGTCATTTGGAAGATTTCTAACTGTTTTGACGATTTGACGATTTCGACAAGCAAATGACGATTTTTCCTCGGTGTGCAGTTTTTTAGTGCCAGCGATTTATCGTTTTGTTTTACTTTTGCAGAAAATTATTGGGCTTTTAACACTATAACACCAAAATCTTAAACCCAAACTATAATATTTTTATATATGTATCTAAAAATAGATTCCAAACTTCTTATTTCAGACCTTTCTTCTAAATTCTAAGTTTCTTTGGAAAAGGCTTCCTGTACCATATATACGCATGGACTAACAAATTTTAATAAAAAGAAAATGTAGAATTCCACTTCCACTGGGTTGCCTTATGAGCAAAAATGGGAAAATTATATATTCGTTAAGGTTTAAGTCTATTTTCTAATTTAAAAAGTTCGATATATACCCAAGTACCTTGCCCAACACAAAAGGATTAAAAAAAGATTTTGTCAGGAAATTAGTACATTAGAAAATATCGTATGTTTTTTAATCTAAATACAATTAAGAAGTTTTCTATATTCATTTTTTTCGTATATCAAACAATTGCCAAAATTCCTCTGGACACTGTTCATTTTAATATTTGGTGGGTTGACGATTTTTCGATAACAAAGACGATTTTCGAGAACCGATTTGACGATTTCTCAGTTCAACTATCTGGCAACATTGATGAGAAGCTATTTTTCATAGCAGAAATACACTCGGAGGTGTGCCATTGCTTGCCGAGGGCCGACCGCTGTTAAGAAAAAACCTTTTTTTTATATTTTTTACGATGTTGCTTTGACCGGGGCTTGAACCCAGGCCCTGCGGAGTGGTAGCGCTCACTGCTAACATCTACATCACAGTGGCATTTATAATTTTATCACGTTTATCGACAGTTTGTGACCTTAGATGAATCCCCCTAATATATATTTGAATATTTTTTTGCTCATTATATCACACTTTCCTAATATTTATTTAATAACAAATTATCAAAAATTTAATTTCCAATTTTTGTTTTTATTCTATTTTAAGGTCTGCAAATATTGGAATGTGCTAGCCTTGGATGGGTCGAGTTGGCAGAAAATCAATTTATTTGATTTTCAACGTGACATCGAGGTCAGTCAAAGTCATTTGAAATCATATATATATATTTTTTTTTTGCAAATCAATAAACAAATTAAATTTTCATTCCTTTTTCACATTTAGGGTCCAGTTATTGAAAATATATCCCAACGATGTGGTGGCTTTTTGAAATTTCTTTCATTGCGCGGCTGTCAATCAGTTGTTGATAAATCAATAAGGTAATGCGAAGTGTTAATTAGAATTTTCACTATGCATTGGAATAAGAAAAAAAAACATCTGCCAGATAATTTTTTATACTAATTTTGTCAATTCAAGGTTTTGAGGTTTTCAATGCATTTTCCAATCTCACCCTTAAATTTCTAGTGTTTACTTTCAATTTTGTGAACTCTTATTAATTTATTCTCCATTTTTTTATTAACTCTTTCAGAACATTAGCATTTCACTGCCCCAACATAGAAAACTTGGACTTATCCGAATGCAAGAAGATCACCGATATATCGACACAGTCAATAAGCAAAAACTGTGCAAGATTAACAGCAATCAATTTGCAATCGTGCTCTAATATAACCGATGATAGCTTGAAATATATATCGGATGGTTGTCCGGTAAGTAAATACTCGTTTTAAGTTATTTCATAAAGGAAATTTTGAAAGAGCTTGTTCATAAAAAGGACAAAAAAATTTAACATTTGAAATTTACAGGGAATCGCATGAAATTTTGTTCATAATATTATTACTTAAACGAAATCTATGGCTGTCATGGGAAAGAATCAATTAAACGATATGCCAGAGTTCGTTCGGTTTAAAAAACGGACACATTTTTCATGAACTCTAACGTTAAACTTCTATGCTCCTCTAACAGCAGACATTAACATCCTGTGCACATCATTCCCACAAATAAGTGACTTTCTCTTTACTACCACAAAACGTTCGGACTTAAATGGATGTCTATTTTTGGCACTATATACAATGATTTTATTTTTTTTTTTTTTAATTTTCATATTGCGAACCTCAGCACTTATGTTGAGAAATGTTAAAATTGTTGCCAAGTCCAAAATATGTTAAATTTTTTGCAACCAACGACAGGCTGCTGACTGCTTCTCTCTGTTTTCCTTTGAAGAGCACTAAAAGAGGCCTACCAGTAAAATTTCATCTCCTTGTGGACGCTCTTGCTGCATGTTTTTGTGATTGTATCAATTTCTCTCAAAAATAGTTTTCGCTCTCTTTTTCGTGTTCGCTCTATGCAATCCTCTCTGTTTATGTGGAAATTTGCTTGCTTCATGTCCTTGCCCATTCAGTTTCGTAATAAACAAATAAATTGAGGCCAAGAAGAGCTCAGTTGTACATAACCACTTGCAGCTACACGCACACACCTACAGATGCTAAGTAATATGAACATTTTTTTTAACCACTTTTAACCTCCACTCGCCAGCACTCGGCTTACAAAGTTATTTTTTAGGGTATTACATATTTATTTATGTATGTACGTGCATGTGTGCTTATGCTGGCAACACTGACAGTGAGCGCTGAATTTGTTGGTATTTGCCCAAAAAGTATACAAGAATTCGCATAGCATTTATACACATACGGATGATTATCTACACATAAATATATATGTAAGTATATACTAATATATTTTTTTTTATTAAATTTATACATAGATATGAGTGTATGGAGATATGTATGTATGCTCAGCAATTCGCATTCTCAGACATTTGGCATACCATGTACTCGCACAACCCGTGCATATACTATTTTTGGCCTACTTTAAGGCGTTTTTGCTAGTTCTTTTTCCAACGCACCACCCGCTGCATCTCTGTGTGTTTTTAATTTTCTTCCTTCACCTGCTATTTATTTACATACCTACCTACGCTGTGTATATCTTGTTGAGTGCTGCTATTTTTGTTGGATTCTGCTGCCTACGCTTTTCTCGTAATAATGAGTTCATGCCAGTTGTTGCGAAAAAATTTGCATGTATTGGGGGTGTTCTTAAATTATATGCTTATGTGCTGCATGCATTCGTAGTATTTGTGTGAGTGTTTGTGTGTGTGGTAAACTTTTGGCGGTTTTTGAAAAAGTTTTCCCCAAGTCCAAGTTTTTACCAACATTTTTTTTTGTGGCTGTGCTCCATTTAGCACTTTCGCATTTTTGTTGCTTGGCACTGGCGTAATTTGTGTCAGCCTAAATCGCAAGTATGTATGTGTGTAGATATGTATGTATGCCACAAGCGAAGTGATGTTGAAAGAGGTCATGCTGGCATTAAAATAGGCTCTGAGGAGGATATACTTTGAAATTATAAAATTTATGGTATACTACTCAACGGTCAAAAATTGATGAAGTTACCTCTAGCTTTATATAATGTATGGTTTTTTTTTGGGAAAAAAAAGCAATAGTGTCCGACCTATGTATTTTCTTGTAACTTCTGCCAGTGACGTAAATCTGATACTTTTTCACTGGCAAATGTTATAATATGTATTCGATATTTAATTCAACCCAATTTTTGGTTATTTTACACAAATTCGCCAACAAATACATATGTCACACTAGGGTGGCCCAAAATTTTTTTCATAGTAGAAAATCCACGGAACCTCGACAATTTATTCTAATGCGAAAAGAGTAAATAATTATCTTTTATTTTTGAAAATTTTAATATTAACGCGTGCCACCGAGCACCTTAATTTTTCATGGGAAAATTTTAAATTTTCGAAAAATCGAAATCATTAGCCAGGATTTGAAAAAGCTAACTTTAAACTACTAGAATTTATTATTATATTATGGCTATCATTCGATAGAGGAATACTAGTGGGACTCTCACCTGTTGGCGACATGGCTGTCAGACTCAGAGGTTTCCAAAAAGGTTGTATAGACGTTGAAAAGGCTGTGATCTTATAAAGTAGGGTTTCCACTTGTTTAAAAAGTCAAATTCAACTTGAATTAAAGGTTAAGGGTTAATTAGGTAATTGGAATATGTAAAGAATATGAAGAAGAGGTTTAAGAAGCTTATAATTTGAAAATATTTTGAAGAAGTCCAATCTAATAAAATTATTCACCATTTATATGAAATAATCAAATAAGGTTGTCAAACGAAAGAGTGTTAACCAAACTTTTATTAGAAAATTTAGAATATTTTTTAGGTGTTTGAAGAGGATCGCCACCTGTTTAAAAATTCAAATCCAAATTATTCAATAAATAGTTTTGAAAATACTACGTTTTCAAACTACACGCAGAGGGCTTATAAAATCTAGTAAAATTTAGTTCATCAGTTAAATTTCAATGAACATGCATCACAACGTCAGACGAAAGAAATTTTAAAATGTTTTAGTTTGAAAATCCTTTTAAAGAGGGTTACCACATGTTATAAAAGTTGGATTAAGTTAAAATATACACAAGTTATGTATTAAAATATGAGTGTCAGAAAAAGGAGTTTTGATTAGGGTTGCCACATATTCGAAATGTCATATCCATCTAACTTTGTATAAATATTTATATACATACTTACATATGAATAAATATAAATGTTGAAAGAGACAATAGAATAAAAAATCAGAATATCGTTTATCTTTTTTAATATCTATTGCAACATTTTATGATTAATATTAAAAAAAAAATACTTTTTAATATACCACTTTTTTATAAATGGAATAAAAAGTTGAAAATTATTTTTTCTAGACTATTTATGAGATATAAAATAAAAAACGTGGAGCGCATGTAGTAGACTTGAAGTAATAAAGTTCCTTAACACCTGTATTAGATTTAATTAACAGTTAGTCTAGAGTCAATAAAATGATATTACAGTAACTTTTGTCTCATTAGGTAATTCATACTAACAATATAACGGGCATTGAAATTTCAGGTCGATTTACCGTGATCGATATCAATAATTGGTAAAAAAAAATCGGTATTGGGTATTTACATATCATTTGGCATATAATTTCAAGTCTGTTACATGCACTCCAACTTTATCATTTTAAATCCATAAATGGTATATAATGATTACACGGTGCGACATTAAATTTTACACACAAAAAAAATTTATATATTCTCGAAACCATGGTCCAAATATAGTAAAACTGCGTTTTTAGTTTTTCTCTCTGTCGTTGGGATTTTTTTAAGGACTTTGAAATTGTAAAAATATAATTAATTCAAAAAATTATTTTAAAAAATCAGTACAATGTAGAATTACACTTCGAATATCAAATTAAAGAGAAAATTCTGTAGAATTAAGGCCGATTAAGGTTTTTGGTGCATAAGGACGATTAGGTATTGAAAAAGTCCTTTTTACATTTTATAATTGAATATCCTTGAAATTTTACAATAATTATTTTCGAAAAAATTATGTGTCACTTAAAAAATACTAATTAAAAGGACATATTCAATACCTATTCGTCCTTGTGAACCGAAAAGTTTTCATTTTTTAATTCTACAGAATTTTCTCTTTCATTAGGTGCTCATACTGTTTTTCTATATTGGAATGAATTTTTTAAATTATTTTGGGAATTACAAAGACAAGACAAAATCTATGAGGCCAGGAAAAATTATTTTATATACTTACATTTTTTATATTATATGTAGTCCATTTATATAAATTTTTTTTATTTTATTTTATTTTTTACATTAATTTTAATTGTAGACATGCATGACTATTTTTTTATCCTATTTTATTTAATTCCATTGTATGCATTTAAGCATGTATAAACCTATTTAAGTACATATACATACATATGTACTTATGTACCTACATACATGTATACAAAATTTTTGCCTAAATATTACTGAATGACCTTGTACATGCAGCCGAGCGTCCATGTATGTAGTTCAAGTGTTTAAGTATCTCCATACATATATGTATTTATGTATATGTATAAAACATAAACATAGGTATGTATGTATGTATGTACATTGTACATTCGTAGTGCATGATGATTTGCTGCTTTTATTGCATTGGCCCACTTTCGAGCCAGCTATATATGCTGGGTATATACATTTATACTTAGAAATGTACATATGTATGTATGTGTGTGCATAATTTTATTTAGTTCATCGATAAGTGCACCAAAACTGCTCATCTGTGAGATTAAATAAATATTTTAGTATGTATAAAAAGTAGCAATACATTTTGTTAAAACTTCAACACTCATTCCACACCAAATTCGTAATGTTTTCTTTTCGAAATATTCAATTCAACGCTTTAAACATGCCAATTTATATACATAGATACAAGCACACGCGCCTAGAAGTATGCAAAAGATGTTTGCTTTCACTATTTTTTTTTTTTTTACTTTTGTACTAAGTACGCATATATGGCTACAAAGGATATTTACGCATACATATGTATTCATTCTTCAAGGAATTCCAACTATACATACATACATGCATATGTGCAAATCCCATGATTTTTTCATGAAATGGTGGTTCACCTATTATCTTCAGTTTGGTATAAAGGACAAGACTCCATCGCGAAATTGTGTCTAAAAAATTAAAGCTTAAGAAATATATACTAAAACGAGTAATTTTTAGCAAAAAAAATCAACTTAAAAGAAAAAAAATATATATATATATTTCATGATCCAATGATCGGATCTAAACCAGATTAGTATAGGACCACCTCTGATTTTCCATTTCGAATTATCGAAATCGGTTGACGTGGTCCAAAGTTATGCGGTAACATACATAAAAAAAAAAATATATTCCGACGAACTGATAACCTCCTTTTTTGGAAGTCGGTTAAAAAATAAATAACCACTCGCTCAAAACCCCGTAGTTGCGTATGTAACGTATACACCCCGTAGCACCATACGAAGTCATCTTCTAACAAGTTTACTCGCATGCCTTAACTTGAAAGCCATACTATTTAAAAGTGATTAAATATTGGCGTTTAATATTTTTACACAGTATTCATTATGCACATATGTATATATTTCTTTCTTTATATATATAACAATTTTAGATAGAATTTCGAGTGCACCAATAAAAATTTTAGAAATAAAATTTTATTTTCTCAAATCATAGTCTTCTTTTACTCAATGCAATTTTTTTCCTTTGATGAGACACTAGTTTAGTTCGTTTTGGAAAGACGAACATTCTCATCGTTTAATTTTAATTAACATTTTGAAGTAACTTAAATTATTGTGTTGGCATAACAAAAATGAAAAATAGTGGAAATAAGCAAACGATAATTTACAAGGCGTCTTAGCGCGGTGCATGGGCAACTGGCTGAGTCAGTGGGATCGTCGGTTCGAATCCTACTGAAAGAAGTCTGATGAGGAAATGTGGTGATTTCCGAAATAGCTATCACTTCTACCATTTTTTCAAATTGTTGTTGCTTTTCCACAATAAATTTTTCATTTAAAAATGGCCTCGAGCTCATTATAAAATTGTTGAATTAAATTATTAAAAATAAAAAAGAAATCCTAAAATTTCAAAAATTAAGAAATAGCTGCGACAGATATTTTGAATGCTGCCTTTTTTTTTTATTGCGTGGTGTACTCTTGAAACTTCATAGATATTTTGTACTTGACGCCAACGTCCATTGCTTCAAACATGAACATTCTACATATTTGAGAACTTACCAAAGTTATTTAAAAAAAACAACCATTATGATTTTTGCGAGTGACATTAAAAAAATTAGTAATTTCGGTTCTTTTCCGCCTAGATAAACGGTTTAAGGGTAAAATTGTTCAAATACCTGGTATATTTTTATTGAACTTGTTTCTGGAACTCCATTGATTGAAATAAATGCAAGAAGAAAGCTTTAGCATTTTTTTTTTGCCGAGAGAAGGGATTGACACTAAAAAAGAACAACTAGTAATCATATACATACATACATATTTACATCCTGGTTGGGCCATTGCCTCGTTATCTACAAAATATTAACAGTCTATCAATTTTCTAAATAATTTAAAATTTTCCCGCAGACGCTGTTCAATGAATATATCAGAAATATAATGCAATCAACTTGTTTGACATTTTGTGATGCTTGATACATAATATGTATGTACATATGTATGCAGGCTGTGTGTAGTACCAGCAGAACCACACAGTGAATGCACCCCTTCATCATTTCATTGTCCTTCACTTAGGTTTGTTGTATTCAAAGTTATGTATGAATGAGTGGCAGCATCCACTGGTATCTTTACTTACATATATTTGCCCTACATTTTCCACAGCCATGGTCGCACCATGTACTACATAAGTGTCATTTATGTATATATGTATATATATAAATTCACTTGAGTATGTACATAGATGTTTGTAATATATGAAAAGATTTTCACTTTCCTGCTGCTTGTGCATATCCTTTTATACTTTCTAAACTATGTAGGCACTTATGTACATACATATGTATACAAATAAAAAATATACATACATTATATTTTGCTTCCTTCCTTTCTTCTCTTTTCTTATACATACATACATATGTATTGAAACTTTCCCCTTTCACTTTTTTTTTTTTTAATGCGACGCTTTTGATAACCCAACCCAGCCTTGCGTATCAACAGTTGTTGCTATTCTTAGAACTTTCTGTCACTGTTTTTAAAATACTTACCTACTAATGTATATATTTATACATTTCTGCACAATTTATGTACATAAAATATATGTACCGATGTCCATCGAATAAGTGGATATTCAGGCATCTCGCTACGCTGCTGTTTTCCTCATCTTCTTGCGCTATTTTACATTCACCTACTTTCCCTACGTTGGGGCTGCTAGCGTTCAAGGCCAATAGACCAGCGAGGCAGCAATGCAGCCAACCCTCCACTGAGCCAACCAAAAGTAATCCTACCAAATATATGTACATACATGCGTACAAACTTACCATTGCAATTCAATGCTCCTACTCATGGTTGGTGACAGAAAGACGAGTAAGAGGAGCAGCAGCAGCTTTTGTTCGTATGGCTACTATGTAAGTCGCTGACAGCGGACGATGCCAGTCATCGTCGCTGGTGGTAGTGATGGGGTGGCATTGTTGGCAGAGCGACAGAGAACTAACTCTGTTGGTCTTTCGATATTCGCACGTGTTGCATTAGTGTGCGTCTTTGGGGATCAATAATGAATGGTCTTTACTGCATTTACACTGTGCCACTTTTTTTACGCGTTGTTCGATTGCATGCCTCTGGACATGCGATTTGCTGGTAATTGTGATTTTTGTGATTTTTTTTATGTATTTATTTCAGCGTGTTTTGCTTTTTCCTATAATTCTTTACTTGGTATTATTGCAATCTCTCGCTTTGCGAAAACAGCTGACGATTTCCTGTATTGTTTTTTTCGTCTTTAAAGCGATTTATCACAAGTATTGCATACTTTTCGGCTTCAGGCATACAATTTGTTTCACTCGATATCAATGCATGTTTTAACTTCAATAACCTCAATTGCTATTTTTCATTTTGATTGGCATACTTACAGTCGTTTTTTATGATTTATTGTTTAAAAAAAAATAATTGGACATTTAGTTTTTTCGAAAAAGTCGAGTTTGTGAAAGTATTTTATGCCAATACACTTATTCCGTGGTTTTTGTTGTAGCAGCAGTGCTCAACCTCCCCAGAAGGTCTGGTCATCCTATGACCCGTTCGACCTCGGACTCTGTGAGGAGGTGTTGAGTTCCATGAGAACCATATCCGCATGCTGGGTAGGTGCTTTGTCACTTCTGAGCTTAGCCGACAGATATAACTGTCAAGTCTGTGGCACTAGCCGAAACGAATCCGAGTCGCAGTTATGCTTACTCTGTGGAAAGCTAAGGCTCATCTTGAGCCATCGCGATAGACGTTGTTTGGTGTAGCTGCCGTCTGTCGCGCTGAGTAGGCGAAGCATTTCGAAACAGCGTTGTTCGTGCAGGTTATGCTCGGACGACATGAGATGACATCCTGCAGCGCGACGTAGAGCTGTGTTCTGACACGTTTGCATATTTTTCTACTACGCGTCGTTTGTTTCCGCCAACCACATTACCGACAGGCTTATACGTTGCTGGCAGCTGACGGAAAAGGGAGATGTACCAATTGAAGGCTACTCTGTGTCGAGTACGCCACCTTGAGGAAACTCCGGTTAAATTCTACGCGGCTTAAACTTAGCGTTGCAACTGATGATGGTCGTCCACGCAAAGAGTAAGACATCCACCGTTTCGCCCGATTTGGAAGCGACGGGTGTAGGATGTATGCAAATGCAAAATTTAGAACCATACAGAACTGCTTTAAATGTGAAAAAGTTACTGAATTTTAATCTCTAAATCATTACCAGGCTCGCCTAAAGATACACAATGTCTCCATTACATTGCCTGTTCCGCTAACGATTGCAACTTTTTGGATATCATATTATTTATTTCACGTGATGAGTCCCCCCTCCACCGTCAAAAAATTCGAATCCCAAATAAGGACATATAAGCAGTGGGATTCTACTTTTAAGCCCAAATTGTCTAAAAATATGTCCCATAAAAACTCAAGAGATTTAAAAAGGAAAATCGAGTGAAATCAGTGAAATCTGTATTGGTTGCATATTTTTAGGCAAACGAGTTTATCAAATGAGTTTCTGCTACATTTTTTTACTTGTTCTCATTGCTCATCCAACCATGCATTATTATTCGATTTCATAGAGACTTTTATATTTTTTATGCGGTATTTCTGTAGACGACACTAGACTGGAGGACGGACTAAGTTTCCTCAGCAACTTTTTTGTGTTGTGAAAAAATATCTTGAACTCTATTAGTTCATAAAAAATAAGCTTAAATGAACTAGTATCATTATTTTTATTTCCTATGACTCCTCTTCATTATGTAAATACCTTAATCTTCTATAGTCCATCTCTAACAAATTTCTCATTTTACGCTTCTTTTCTCTTTCAGAACTTACTTGAAATCAACATTTCATGGTGTCATTTAATCTCAGAGAATGGCGTTGAGGCCTTGGCGCGCGGCTGTAAAAAGCTACGCAAATTCTGCAGCAAAGGTTGTAAACAGGTCAACGACAATGCCATCACCTGCCTGGCCAAATTCTGTCACGACCTAATGGTGCTCAATTTACACAGCTGTGAGGTATGCACGCGAATGTAATGAATGTAAAAATGTAAACTCAAACCTCCTTATCTTCCCTACAGTCAGTCACCGATGCCTCGATACGACAGATCGCAGCCAATTGTCCTAAAATGCAAAAGCTGTGCGTTTCGAAATGCGCCGAACTAACTGATCTCTCACTTATGGCTCTCTCACAGAACAATCCGATGCTGAATACGCTCGAAGCGTCTGGCTGTCGTAATTTCACCGATATCGGTTTTCAAGCATTAGGCAAGAATTGCAAATATTTGGAACGTATGGACTTGGAGGAGTGCAATCAGATAACAGATTTAACGCTGGCGCATCTGGCTACCGGTTGCCCCAGTTTAGAGAAATTGGTATGCGTGAATTTTTATTCAGTTTTTCAGGTTAAGCTAAGCAAATTTTAATTTAACTTCACTTTATTTTTTATAGACCTTGTCGCATTGCGAGCTTATCACTGACGATGGAATACGTCAGCTGGCGGCTGGTTGTTGTGCAGCTGAAAGTTTATCCGTCCTCGAATTGGATAATTGTCCATTAATCACCGATCGTACATTAGAGCATTTAGTATCTTGTCACAATTTACAAAGAATCGAGCTATTCGACTGCCAAATGATTTCGAGAGCAGCAATACGAAAATTAAAGGTGAGTGGGTAGAAGAAATTAATGACTCAGACAAATTAACGACTCAGACGAGATGGGTGTTTTTACCGTTAAATCTGGATGGTGGTTCGAATCTCTATTGTTCCTTTACCTTCTCCGTGCGTGAACTGTTCCCACTCTTCAAAAAATCGCTTCAATTTAAAATGGAACGGCATGCTTACATATGTAGGTGTATGGCATGTCTTGTGAAGTGCCTGGAGGCTGATATATGCACTTTAAATACCGATCAACCAACAATTTTGAATAGTATTTGCTGTAACATACTGTTGACGATGGTTAATTTTTAATTCTGGAATGAAAAGTTTAGGAACTTTGACAGGCGATGCTCTCATCTGTACTAAATCTGCCTCTCCCATGTAGCCAGTGCAACGCCCCTCTCGCAAGAAGCCATGGTGAATATTTCAAGAAACCACGCCTAGTCGCTTTTTTTCATCTACTCGTTAGAAATTTCCAACGCTCCATTTGCGCCGTTTGCGTGTTTTATTCGCAGTCAAAAATCTGTTCCGTTTCTCGACACCACAAACTTTTACAACAGTAGAGTCGAGAAAAGTCAACTAATACACTGTATAGGCATCAAAATTGCCTTAAAAAAAATCAGTGGAACAAAAAGGAGGGACTTAAAGAAACAACCCTCCGGTGGCTGAGTAACTGAAACGCCAAGTCAGGCTCAAGTAGATTCAAAATTGAATAGGACTGCACATAAGCAAATTTTCTGGTTAAGATTGAGCATTAGAAATCAAAATGATATTTTTGAAGTTGAATCCTGTAAATACAATATATCAATCTCTGACGGACTAATAGCAAACATAACACCCGAGGGGTATATTAGCGTATTCACGACAGTCGTAACCGGAACGGCCCAGATTTATATCACTCCACCATCACTCCTTAAAAGACTCTTTGAGGATTTAGAAGCAGATATATTAACTTAGAGATTCCACAACTGATGAACCAAAATCAGCGGAAGAAGTGGAAAGAGCACCCCAAGACCTGAAACTTAACCCCTTGCGTTAGTTGTTGTCAACCGTCAGATCTCTGCCCAACGCGATGATGCACGATGCCATCGTGGAAATTACAACGAATCATCCTTCGAAGCTATTAACCCTGAGTCATTAAATCGTTTGGGTCTGACGGGAGTAAACACCCTTACCGAGGTCCTAAATTTGTCGTTAGCCACTCTCATCACTCCTGATATGTAGAAGTATGGGGGAGTCATGTCACTACTGCAACTTATCGTCCGATAACTATCCTTTACCCATTAGTAAAAATACTTCATGTCACTGTACTTACTTGAAGATGCACGGCTTCCGCAAGTGCACAGCACCACGAAAGCATTTAATGTCTTAACCTCTCTCCCCTTGTGAGAGAGGTGCGCTGGCAGTGTTGGACTTAGCGAAAGCCTGCGACATCTTGGTCACTTCTCGCTATTAGAGAAAATTGACATATCATCTCTCCCACCGGGTATAAAACAATGCTCAACCAATTATGTGAGTGATCGTAGTCGATTACAAAAAACATCAAAGCCACTTTTGATCCTACATAACACCAATCACCAAATCTTCACTTGCTCCGTTAAACCCACTCAGCCAACACAACTCTTTCTTTGCTTCGTGAGCTGAGTTTGACGCCGAACAATAATCGATGCCGCTACAACAACAACGTTCAGCCTGAGCCATTGTTTCAGAACTCGAACGTTTGATTAAAAAAAATATATAATTTGAAAAATAAAAAAAAATAACTCCTTTCTCACAATCTTTCAGAATCATCTACCAAATATTAAGGTACACGCCTATTTTGCACCAGTAACACCGCCACCAGTCACCACTGGACATCGCCCACGGTATTGTCGCTGTTGTGAGATTCTCTGAGATTCGGCCATCGGCTTCGCCAGGAAATTCTTGTGCAAGGGCCCTACTGACTGATGTTTGTATATATTTACTAGTACATTTTTAATTGTTCTGACGATCATAATGACATCGCTAACACTCATGTATCTCTTCTCGATGATTTTTTATGTTTTTTGAAAATTAACTAAAAATATTAAAGAACAAATGACAACATGCATAAATAACTACAAAAACAACCACTACTATAATCACAAGAATCACAATTAAAAATAGGAAAGAAAGCCAATGCAAGTGGTGGCATGATTTAATGTTTTCGAAAACTAGCTAAGGCAATTGCAGTCAACCCCAGCAAAACAAAACAAAGATTATGTTTGAATAATGCTCTGTAATTGAAATTTATTGTATATGCATAGGCAAAGCTTGGAATTACGTGATTGCACTGTAAAAATAGAGCAGAAATGTAAACAAACCAAAAAAAATGGAAATTAAATGCAAAGCGGAGTGAAAGCAAAAATTATTAAATGTAAATTCGAATTGATTGAGACAAATTCACTGAGTTTTTAAGTCAAATGGACTTTATAAGGCAAAGGAACGCGATCTATGTTTTTAAGTAATATTGTACGAATAAAAGGTTTTGTTTTAACGAAATTCTAAAATCAAAATATAATGCACAAAGCAAAATTGAGAATTATAAAAGACTAAACGTTTAAAGCGAAAGAAAAAAAGAAGCAAAAATAAGTAATTAATTTATTGAAATTCAAAAAAAAAAAAATCACTTAACTGCAGAAAAATCAATAAAAGAAGAAAAGTAAATTTACAAAAGAATTCGCGTAAGACGCTTTGCAATTTTACAAAATTTTCGCCGATTTTTGTGTTTCGCGCACGCATGCCGTAAAGTGAGTATTAAGAAAACAAAAAAACATTAGCAATACAGTTTGAGAATTGAGAAGTGAACTGCGAATTGGTAGAGAGGTTGAGGAGAAGGAAAATGTTTGTAATTGTATTCGATTGTGACTGTATTTAGACATACATATCGTTACCTTAATAGAGAAAGGCCCTAACTCATACAGTCGTTGAAGTGCAAAAAAAAAAACCGTAACTATTGCTTAAATTAAAATTCGATGAAATGCATCAAAATAAATCAAAAAGGGAATTTTGGATTTTTACTTAGTTACGGCCTTTTGTATTTCAGCGACGATGTGAGATGGGGCCTTTCTATATTAAGGTAACGATATGTATCTACATTACGCCCTCATTATTACAAAATTTTTAAGCCGTTACAACAACTGCAAAATTAAAACAAAAATTTGTTTAATGTTTTTTTGGCCTGTTAAAAAGTAAATAAATCTCGTTTTGTTTAAGATATACGTTTATTAAGCTTGAACAGTAAAGAAAAATTACACCTAGATTTTTTTTTTTAATAATGAGGACAATGTATACATACATTTCAATTTGTATATACTTCTGTTGTTGGTTTTTTTTTATATCATTTTTTTGTCGCACTTTAAGTTATAAAAGGAAATTTTTTATTTATAATTATCATGTCATGTATAAAGCATATACTATGCTAATTAATGTTTATATTTTTTTACACATAACACAAACTGCGGAAATTCGCGCACGCATTAACACATAAATATATTTGAAACAATCATCATATATATACATAACATACTACACACCTATGTACATATGAACATACATCTGTGACATGTGAGAGTCTGAAAAGCAGTAGGTTTAACTAAATTAGAAATTTCTTTTAATATTTTCACCTACATAAAATTAGTGCAGTTTTTGCATTTCATACGTTTAGATTTTTGGCTATGTGTATTATAGCCACGGTGACCAACCGTCTTGTATTGTATGGAAAAGTCGTATTTTTTTAGTCAATTGTGCTCTTAATTTATTTCGTTTATACGGAACTCAAAATGTTCTGTAGAAAATTATTATTCGAAAGTTTTAACAAAAAAATTAGAATTTGAAATTGTATCTTAAGCGCTAAGGAACTGTTTATATCTTTTAATTGAATTAAGGAAACGCAGATTCCAGTTTCTGACTAACGGGGAGCATTAAAAAATCAAAATGTTACGAAATAAGTAAGGCTTTTAATTAAAAAAAAAAAATTAATCAATGGCACGTTCTGTAGGTCCTTCGATTACAACTAAAACTTCATTCTAAACTGATATGTGAATAGAAGAAAGCTTTCTCAACTCCAAGCTCCAAGTTCAGAAAGCTCTAAGCAAAACTTAGATCAAAGTTTTACCATAATCGCGGCATTCGTGATCGAATGATATCTCGTTTTAAATTGAATAATTGCAATTTACAGTTTTTATTCCAATAAAATTCAAATTCGGGCCCTAATAAAGCAGGTAGCTGTGAAATATTGAATCGCAATAAAATGGGCAAAGGTTTTGGTAGGCGGGCACAGGTTAAAAGCTTTCTTTGGCCAAAATTTAAATTAAAAAAAAAAAGACTTAGGTAGTGACCTCTATTATACATAGTTTGGTCTACCTCAGAGCTTTTACTCAGCGCGCTTTCATATAAAATTTATAAGAAGCTTTACAAGCAGCCTCATTGCATAAGTCGTAAATTAGGCTGAATTGTACGACTCGACAACATTAGCATTGTCTACTGTCGTGCTGAAATAAGTAAACGACGAAAATTGTCGAAAACTATGCAGTGCTGCCAAGTTCTTCCGTTTTAATACACTAGTCGAGTGGAAATTTTAGGCAATGACGCTAAATTTTCGATACGATTCGACTCTCGAAAAACGACTTGCATTCGGCACGACTCTCGCAATGAGGCTGAAGGCTTCAAACGCGCGGGATTGGTTTTGGTCGTGAATGTTCTATAGGCACGCATGCAGTGCGTTTTTCAGCATTCTATATATTAAACTGGCGTAAAAGCTCTTTGACCNATCTCGCAATGAGGCTGAAGGCTTCAAACGCGCGGGATTGGTTTTGGTCGTGAATGTTCTATAGGCACGCATGCACTGCGTTTTTCAGCATTCTATATATTAAACTGGCGTAAAAGCTCTTTGACCAATACTTTTCTAAATTGTAGTAGAATAATTTGTAATTAAACTATCTTGTGATTGATGTTTAAAATCTTTTGTTAGATATATTCTAGTTAGATTGAGCTTGAAGACTCTTCCTTACACACACAGTTCATTTACAAATACTCACACACATATATACATATATACACCCTGCAGTAAAATTTAGAGACAGTCTGACAAAGCGCTAGAACCGAACTACATATGTATATCAGAACTATATCTGAACTAGTGCAAAACCGATGCAGAGCGGAACAGTTGAAACTTGCGGTGCAAATGCTGACTACTGGTACAATACGAGAGTAATGCACTGGGCGACAATTGCCACCGCCAATGACATCGCCGTGTAAAACTGAACAGTTGAAAGCATTGTTTGGCTATTGAGCTAGAACTAGTACTGTCGGCAATAGGTCTAGTTCTGAGGTAGTCAGACTTTCTGCAGGACATACATGCACACATACCCTCATTGCATTTAATTACATTTGCATATATACATACATAATACACACATGTATTTGTCAACTTGGCGCATAAGAGATTTACCAATTTTTCACCAATTGGCCGGCGAGCAACGAAAGTGTGTAAATAACAAAAAATAAAATAAAAATTATGTGATAAAATTTATGTAAAGAATTCGCTCATAATGAAATTATTATTTTCTCAAATTTTTGGTAAAAACAAATAAATGTATGTATGTCATCTAAAAAAAAACTCTAAGCAACCGCACTATCGCGGTTTAAGCTTATCGTGGGCGTATACATATTCAGTACCCTCTATCTGCAATTTTTAGAAAAACTACGTGCTGATGTTAGAACCCAACTGGGACTTAATTGTCATCATTGATGTAAATTTTAACTATGCAATTCAATAGTAAGTAAATTCTTCTAACAAGCGATGTACAAGCTCAGCATTAACATCATCGATGCCAGAGTTAAGTCTTAGGTGGATTTTTACATCAGAATCTCATTTTGATGGAAATTGCAGATAGAGGGTGTTGAATATAAGCCGCCGATGTGAAATTTTTGCTGAAATAACAAAAACCGCTAAAAAATGTGAAGATACACAAGAATATTGAGAAGAAAGGTAGCTAACTACTTTTTTCCCTAGGGAAGTATTGTGTCGCTTGCCGGAATAAATTCATTTTCAGGCAAAAGCCGACACACATACAAACAAACAAACAAACAGACCAACAATTTAAAAATGACTTAATACCACAACACATCAAATAAAATTATGTTAAAATAATTAAATTTAACTACGAAAACAAAACTTAGTGTCCCATTGCATGAGTAAGCAACAATAACAAATACAATACACTTACAAAAGAAAAATGCAAAAAGAAACAGAGATAAGAAAATAGCAGAGACAAAAGAAACAAGAAAAACTCAAAAATCTACTAAATTATACAAAGCAAACGTAAATAGCGATAAACAAAACAAAAGCGAGAGAGAAATGAAAATACAATAAATACAAAAACAAAAGCAAAGAGAAAAACAAAAAAAGCAAAATAAGCAAACAACTAATCTTAATGTTTAAGTAAGTAGATGTGTGATAAATGCTTTTAAATTTTTAAACTAATAATATAATATTTAATATTAATGATGAATATTAATAAATAAATATAAAGTAAAATACAAAAATATGTATATTTAAATGATACTATTTAAAATTAATACTATACATACGAGTACTATATATTGTATATTTAATATTAATGAATTAATGATTTAATTAATTGCAGCGCGTATGAAAACTATGGTATATATCTACTATATAAATAAAAAATATAGTTACGAAATAAACAAGAAATACAAAGCAAATAAAAAAATTTTAATTAAACAAAAAAAAGGACAACATCTGCAATTATTCGCTACGATGCTCGCATGCTAGTAAGCATACATTGTAAAGGAAAGGGCGCATTAGAAGGGAGGTTGCAGCGCAAAAATTCATTACAAAAATATTTAAGAGACATTTTAAAAAGCTTTCAAACAGCGAAATTTATTTAAGAAAAATTCATTTTTGGTGTTTAAAATTATTTATTGATTTATTTTTGGATACATAAATTTAATTTTAAAATGGTTTATTACAAAATAGTGGAATATAATTAGCAAGATGATTTTTTTTTTTACTTGTCTCTTACTAGATGTACCCCAACAAATATTTAAGTTAGAGAACAATTCAAATTCGAATATGTTTCTCTAAAGAAGAAGGTTAGAAGTCAATTAGAGAAACTGTCGAGAATTATAGCATTCTCTAAAAAAAGGGGACTTAAGTCTCATTATCTAATCGTATTCTAACGTTAAATTCTAACTGGCTTCTAATGTCTTGTGTGTTTCTAATCATTCTCTAATCAAATTCTAACATAGGTCTCTAACCTGATTTTGGATTCGAGAATTACATTAGAATTCTAATGTAAAATCAAAATATTTCTCTAACCGTAGAGACTGTGTTTTCTGGGACAGGTTTATATGGAAGGACTTCGAGAAAATTTCTCAAATTCAGATATCTGTTTCAAATAAAGCCACATTATTATAAGAACTTTCTAACCTTTTCCCTAGAATTATTTTACCAATAAAAAAAAATGGTCAAAGGAGCTAGGCTGTTTCTTCGTGCTAGATCCAAGTTTTGTTCATTTTTTTTTTGTATTGGCACCATGTGCTTAACAATTCTGTGAATATTTTTATTTATATAAAATTCTCGACGCAGTAAATTTTGTAAACTGAAAATGACACAAAAAGTAAAAGGTTAGTAGCGTTTATCCGTCTTTATTTATTTTAAAATAATACGCCCGTAGGTTATACTCGAAATAAAAGTAGGTTTTAGCGACAAAAATCATATTCAATATAAGTAAATGGTA